ACCTAGTGGCAATTTGGATTATCCAATTAACCTATCCCCACAAGTTGCATGTCTTTGGACAGTGGGAGGAAGCCGGAGTACCCGGAGTGAACCCACGCAAACATGGGGAGAACATGCAAACTCCACACAGAAAGACCCCGGCCTGATGATGGAATTGAACTCAGGACCTTCTTGCTGTGCGGCGTCATGAATGATTATTATCTCAAAATAAATCAAAATAACTGATTATCATGTTGGCCATGATCATGTAGAAACACTGACCCCAGTATATGAAATTGAATTTTTTTAGTAGAATTAAATGTTGAGCTATTCCAAATGTTTTATACATTCAGTTTTTTTAAACATAATTTTGATGCTGGAAAATTTTGTTTGATCTGTACATAGAATATCCCTTTTATGAATATCCCTTTTATTTCTCCTTCCTGGATGAAGTCAAGTCTATTGTACTTAGAATGTATCAACTTCTTAGAGTTTCTTTGACGACATCTGCAACTTCCAAACAACTTTCAGATTGCAAATGCCACACGTAGATTCCTCTCCATACTTTCTACCTGTTAAATTTATGAAGAAATAACCCAGAAACAGTCCAAACAGCTTTTGAGAAAATTGCTGAAAGAATTTGGAGCGCCTCAAAATAAAGACTGCATAAAAAATAAAACATATTTTTTCAAAATTTTTGAACTGAAGAGTTTTCAATTTGAATAACTGCATATGCTTTGACATCAGAGGAATAACATATAATTCTGCATATTAGTTACATGCAAGTTAATGTTTGACGTACCTTTGAAGTTTATAAAAGTACCATACTGCATCCCCAACAGCATTCAAGGAAAGCAAAACACCAAATAACACCCAAGCAGCAGCGGATGCTGCTACAGAGACAAAATAATGAAGAATATTATTAACATTAACATATTATTCATTCTCATTTTTGCACTATTTAGTTTTATAATTCACATTTAGGTGATTCAGGCACTATTCAAACAACATGTACGCAACACAAACCAAACATAGCAGACCACAAAGAACACAATTCACAGACCAGCTTGGTTGGAGCCAAATAAATGCCTCTGGTGCTTTTTCCCGGTGGTAATTGTGCTACTACTGTGAAAAACAAAGAAAGTGGGAAGGTGAAAGGTGTGTTGGAGTGAGAGAGAAGGTAAGGCAGAAGTGGGGGAGACAGTGGGTATTCATGTAGGTGAAGGGAACACATGTTGAAGTGTTTAGTAGGTACGGCGTTGAGAAGAGAATTGTAGAAGGACAGATGGTAGTAGACAGAAGTGGTCCTAGCCTGTTTGGTGCCCTTGGCGAACACTCCCCTCCCCCCTCTTGTGGAGTCTTGCCTGGTGTAGTAGACCCCAGTCTGTCTCTGTCTCTCTCTGTCTCTCTCTCTCTCTCTCATATATATAACAACTTTGTTGTACTGACAAGCTCTGAAGCATGAAAGTAAATGAGATAAGTTGATATGACTGTGAAATGAACCTATCACAAGCTGGGACCTGCTCTGAGTTTCAAATGGTGGAGCTGGCGTGACACAACCACTTCTTTAAGCTTAAAAGATCAAATAGCATATCAGAAAGACACAACGTCCTCAAAAGGTCAAATCTAAAAATCAGAAACAAATTCACTGCACAGCTAAATCTAAGCTGACCTCACCTGATGCCACATGCACATAGAGCTGACCATATTTTTTTCCATATCTGTTAGATGCTTCACACTGATAGAGGCCATTTAGATCAGAGGTCAGACTCAGCAGTTGTAGCTTTGCACCATCTGCTTTGACACCAGGCTGTGGCAAAAGCTGGCCAGATCTGGAAAAATATGAAAGAGCTTCAGTTATTAGCTTTTTGAGCTAACCATTTGCTTACGCACACCAAGACGATGTATTCTTTAATTTCAACCTACTTTGCATAGCCCAGGTAACTCACATGTTTACAGTCTTCTATATAGGTTCATAACTTAAGAGTATTAAATATCAAACAAATTCTTCAGTTAGACCTTTTCAAGTCTTTTCAACGCAGAAGAGCTCGCTCCCCAATCCTTCCCAGCTACACACCTCATAACATTAATAACTTTTTTGCATTTGGTTTCAATCCGGTCAATATGCTCGAATCACCATTCATTTCCTGCACGATCTTCTTCTTCTTCTTCTACTATTTTAACGGCAGCTTGCATCCATAGATGTTGCATTACTGCTACCCCCTGGAGTTTACTTATATCACATCTAACTCTTTAAATCCTCTTAAATAATCCTGTATTTCTCAGAAACTGAAGAACCACTCCTTTCCCTTCTTGACATCCTAACCAATCAACCGCCTTTTCAAATTTGAATTCCCCCGTATTTCCCATTTCTACCCTCATCATTCTCCTATAGTTACCATATCTCCTGCACTTAATAAAAACATGTTCAACAGTTTCCATAACACCACACCAATTACATAACCCCTCAATTGTTTCCCCATCCTTAAAAGACCATTCAGGCAACAATGCCCTGTTTTTATTCTACTCATATAACAATCTCCTCCTGCCTATTCATGCCTTTATTTCTTTTTACTTCTACTGTATTTTGTACCCAGTAAAATTGTCTCCCTCTAGTTTCATCATTCCATTTTCCATAACTTCTTACTTTCTTTCCAAACTATACACTTTCCTTCAGATTTAGATAATGGTATCTGAACATCTACGTCTACTCTTTTAATAACTTTAGCCATCTTATCCGCTCTTTCATTAACCATATCGCCTTTATAACTGGCATCAACGTTATTACTACACTTTTGCCCTGTTCACACACTCTGTGGTGAGCAAACGTAACT